AACTGCATTTGGATTTACAGTTTCGTACTCTAAGACTCTAAGCTGTGTTACAAATAAGGCTTTCAACAAAAGACGATGTTTCCGGCTGCACAATGCAACTGGGAAACTGTTAGCCATTTGAGAATTAAAAATGCATGAGAGATCTTCTCACAAGGCTATAGGATCCAGTCCTTACACAAGCATTATCTGCTTAATAAATCATTTATCAATGTGATGCACTGTGACTATACATCAAACGATCCATTCATCCATGGCTAACGTAAAGTTTGTTGTTGTTGTAACGATTATCACAATCAACATTTAAGAAAGCATGGGAAAAGATGAGTCCCTAAGGGATGGGCAGGAAGATGCTTTAATTACCTCTAGAGATAATTAATGGTGTCATTTTAATATTTTGCTATTATTGCTTTACTGTAAACTAACTTTAACCCTGATGGTGTCCAGACAGCATTACAGACTCTTTTCCACCCAGCACAGATCAACCCTTCTGCTGGTTTATAATCAGTGTTGATTGATAAATAAGCTATGGATGATTTCCAAGCAGCTGCATCCGTCTGGAGCGCTGAGTGCTCGGCAGATGATGTTTAAATTTACTTATGAAAAGCCTTAATGATGGGCTTATCACAGGCTGGCTCTGGTTTGTATTTCTGTGTCAGATGACATTCACCTGCAGTTTTAACCCTAACCCATAATATTCCAGCCAATGCATATTCCACAGATACTTTACACTCACTGGTATCTCAGTGGAGGTGGCTGAAGTTACTCTTGTTAGAGGAAGCACAAAGCTGTTAATATTGCATTAGTGTCAGAAAGAGGGGAAGCGAAGTACAACAGGTGTCGGTTGCACTGACTTTCTCTGGTTACAGAGGTTACAACAAATACTTCTTGCGGCTGTAGTGCTTTTTGTGCCTTACCAGGCCAAACTAAACCAGTTAACCATCCTCAACTAACTGTCTTATATAAAGTTCAAATGTCTATACAATTAATTTGTAAAGACTCACGTTGCATTTCCATTGCAGCAAGTTCCCTAATGCTGCCAAAAAATATCACTTGTGTGGTATAAAACAATGTTCAGGGCTAATAACCTTGTCCGGTAATGTAGTACATGTAAGTTTTCTGGGAACTCTTCAGAGTCTCTAATGGGTAGTGTCTTATGAATACTGCAAACCTTACAAATTGTGTGGTTTTTCGGTTGTCTAATTGATTATAATGTAATATTGTAAATTAAGATGTAATTTTAGAATTAAAATTATAATTACAGCTTGAAAAGTGATCATTATGAAATTATATACAGTATAAGTTTATACAGTATAAGTCATTATGAAATTTAAACCGTATATAGTGCCATCCAGTGGTGAAGTAGTGACCTGGGAGTTGGACATATTTACCTAAGCCTCACTAGTGTACTTAACTGGGCAAATGTAATTATTTGCCCATGTTACTAAATTCACAAATCTATGAAATTGCATTTGTAATGGGGTTCAGCTGGACTAGATGCACTCATGCCTGATTACAGCTTCAATTCAATCAACACTTAAAAAACAAAAACTTTTTCAACAGCAAGTTGGTTAAAAGGTCTTAGGTAAACCATTATGGTGCCAAGGATCAAAGAAAGTCCCAAAATTATGCTGAAGAAAATGACTGAAATACCTCAGTCTGGGAAGGGTTACAAAGCTATTTCAAAGGCTCTTGGACTTCAAAGAACCACAGTGAGAGCCATTATCTCCAAATGGAAAAAACCTGGCACAGTGTCAAACCTTGCCACAAGTGGTTGACCTTCCAAAATTCCTCCAAGAGCATAGTACGGACTCATCCAGGAAGTCACAAAGGCCCAAGGACAACACTGAAGGAACTGCAGGCCTCTCTTGCATCAGTCAAGGTCACTGTTCATGACTCCACTATCCGAAAGACACTGAAACACAAAAATGACATCCATGGAAGAGTGGCGAGGTGAAACCCTAACCCAGAAGAACTTAAATGCTCGACTGAATTTTGCCAAAACATACCTTGATGATCCTCAAACTTCTAGGGGGATGTTTTGTGGAGTGATGAGTTGAAAATGGAACTGTTTGGAAGACAGTTTAATAACTGTTGATTCCGGAGACTCTGCAATCCTTGTATTCTAAGATAGTAATGTGGCATTTGATACCGTAGATTACAGAATCTTGTTTTCACATTTTGAGAATTCAAAGAGTGACACTTCAGTAGTTTAAGTCCTGTTTGTCAAATAGATGTTTTACAGTTAGTCTTGGTCAGTTTTTATCGACTTCAGCTCTTCTTACCTGTGGGGTCCCCCAAGGGTCCGTTCTTGCCCCGCTTTTGTTTTCCCTGTATATGCTCCCCATGAGATCTATTCTTAAGAAACATGGTGTTTCTTCTCATTATTATACCAATGACATGCAGATTTATCTGCGACTGAAAATAAAAAATAACTTTAATAATAATAATTTAACTCCTTTTTGAACTTACATCCTTGCATGTCCTTACATTTCCTAAGGCTCAATGAAAACAAAACAGGCATTGATATGTTTGGGCTAAAGTTGCACTCAAGCTTTGGAACAATTTACTTTATATGTTAGAGCAGCTCCAACTTCTGTATATCCACTTTTAAAATACTCTTAAAACATATTTATCTTTGGATTTTAATTGTATATAGCATAAGCCGACTTTTTTTTTTTTTCATATGTAAGGTTATCCACGTATGTGTTTACAGACTTTCTCAGATCGTTGGATACATCAGTGGTCGTTGTTGCTCGTGTCACTGGAAGTCATCAGCTCTCCACTGAAAATGACTCGCTATATACAAGGCCGTCCTTAGGGCAGTGTAAAAAGTAACGCAAAAGTAACGTAATGCATTACTTTCCATAAAAGTAACACAATTAGTTACTTTTTTATGGAGTAACGCAATATTGTAATGCATAACTTTTAGAAATAACTTTCCCCAACACTGGTTCTCAGCATGTCCAAAGGTGGAAAAAAAGAAAGATTATCATATTTCTGAGGAGGTATTTAGACTTTAATGAAATGAAGCCAAACCTGGTATACAGAATGCCCCAAAAACATATTTACAAGCCAGAGACACAGCCAATTAAAGGGAGTTAGAAAGATCATTTAGTAGTACAAACCAGTTAGTGAAAGTCCTGCTGGTATGCTACAGCTGTTCATTTGAAAGAGTAGAAAAGAACGAGGCTTGGGGAAGAGATGAGTAAATACAGGGACAATTGAGGAAGGTGGAAACATTTTCATCTGCAGCCGTCACCACAATACAAGTCGCAATTTATAGCCATGAATAAATTCTAAACTGCAAAGTGACTCTATTGCTCAAGCTGCAGGAAGATAAGTGTATTCACATCAGAGGAAATAGAGACACATGTACATATCAACAAACATATATTTTACACTGCAGTCAGAAAGAGGTACTGTTGATCATAGACAGGGAATATTATTGGACAACGGGCCTCATTCATGAACCACAAGCAGAATTATGGGAATCATCTGTAAAACCGTTCTTATGTAGGGCCTATGTTGTCTTTATGTGACAGTTTACACAAGAATAGTTTTATGTGCGAAGCTGTTACATGATGTGACTGTTGTGATGTGAATGGTTTCACCCGTGTAAACTCTCACATGGTGCAACTTTTAAGAATAAAAATGTTTTGTTGCATATACTGCATTTGCATTTACACAAGAACAGTTTAACTTTCATAAACTTGCATGTGAATGGTTTTACTTGCGTAAATGCGCATGTTGCGACAGTTTATTATAAAACAAATTTAAAACTGTCATGTGGTACAATAATTTACACAAGAACCAGTTCAAGTAATAAAAATTCAACCCATTTATTTTCCAAATGCATGTTATATATCTTATTGTGAGTGATTCATTCATGTATATATGGAAGCCTGTTTTCGCCACTGAATTAAAAAGAAAAAAAAATTTTTATCTCACAATTCTGACTTTTTTTCTTGCGATTGCGAGTTTACATCTTACAATTCTGACTTTTTTTTATCAGAATTGCGTAATATAAAAATGCAATTGTGAGAAATAAAGTCAGAATTGTGTGAAAAAAGTCAGAATTGTCAGAAAAAAGTCAGAATTGCGAGATATAAACGTACAATTCTGACTTTTCTCGCAATTGTGAGATTTTATCTAGCAATTAAATTGCAATTAATTTTCTCAGAATTGTGATATAAACTCACAATTGCAAGTTATAGGCCTGGTTTCACAGACAGAGCTTAGATTAAGCCAGGATTAGGCCATAGTTCAATTAGGACATTTAAATAGTTTTTTATAAATGTACCTTAGAAAAAAACATTACTGGTGAGCATCTTGAGACAAAACAATGGCACTGACATATTTTAAGATATGTCAGTGCAAGTTTATTTCAGTTAAAACAGCCCAGACATGCATTTTAGTCTGGGACTAGGCTTAAACCGGGGGATAAAGTACAATTATGAGGAAAAAAGACTACTTTCTTACAATTGCGAGTTTATATCTCACAATTCTGACTTTCTATATAGGCAGAATTGCGGGATATAAACTCACAATTCTGACCTTTTTTCTCGTAATTCTGACATTTTCTCGCTATAGTGAGAAAATTCGGAGAAAAAAAAAGTCAGAATTGCAAGTTTATATCACACAGCTGCGAGAAAATGTCAGAATTGTGAGATAAGAAGTCGCAATAACCTTTTTTATTTTTATTCAGTGGTGGAAACAAGCTTCCACGTGTATGTGTTTCATTTTAAAAAAAATTTTGACCTCGAAATTTTTAATCAAAATGTCATAGATGGATCTTCCGGTGAATCATCAGACTTTTCTCTGGCAATGTATGCAGAATTACTACCAATCATACAGTCAGTTTAAACCCTGCTCCTGTTTTACAATCGACTGCACGCTCATTTATTCAAGTGCAATGCCCTCATCGCAAAATCCAATCAACAACCAATATATGCATAACACCAAGTACATTTTTTATTTTCTATAATCTGTTACATTTAGATGTACGTCACAATACATAATAAAAGTTCTGTCGCTACTTCCGTTTCATCACGACTTTCGTAAACTGTAGCATGTTACATAAAAATTGTTTTAGTTGCACAAGCTGTGCAACAATTCTTTTGTTGCGTAAACCTTAAGAATGTTTTAAAGAATGATTTACAAAAACGTTTCGCTTGTGATGGAGGAATGAGGCCCAATGTAAAAAAATGTAAAAACCAGGCTGCTCAGAATTAGTTTTTCAGTCTACTCAACTTTCTAGGGGTAAACGAAAACTGCTAGTGTGGATGGTCTCGCTTTCTCTCTCAATCTGTCTCTTTATCCTTTCTGTTTTCAGGCAGTGAGGAAGACACCTCTCCTAAGGGTCCTGATAACAGAGATGCGACAGTCACCTCACAAACAGGCCCTGAGTCAGCACCCATAGCTCCTGTGAGAGGATGTGTGTGTGTGTGTGTGTGTGTGTGTGTCTGCAAAAGCGTCCATTTCGCTTCTAATTTCCCAAAGTGTGTGTGGGAGGAGAGGCAGACAGACAGACAAGCAGACAGAGTGAGAAAGAAAGAGATCTGTGGGTTCTGGTTGGTAGCAGTCGCAGTAGATGCAGTAAAGACGTGGTCATGACGGGTCCCTGCATGGCAGAGATAATTTATAATCCTCTACTTGGGTTGATGATTATGTTTTGTCACACTTATATTGATCTGTAAGTGTGATTTCAAGCGTTCTGTGCTGGTCCTCCACAGAGGTTGAATCCAGATAATCCCAATGTAGTCTATAATCATTAACTCTGACTTTCCCACTTCTACACAACCAAAACAAAACAGCCACTAATACACCTTGATTCACTGCAACCGGACGACTGCAGTTGCATGCGACAGCTCCAGGTTGCTTCAGATCCTGTGTGCGACAAAAGAGACGAAACCTGAGATCAGTTTGTGCATTTTTTTTTAAAAAACAGACCTTAAAGGAATAGTTCACCCAAAAATGAGAACTTGCTGAAAATTTACTCACCCTCAGACCAGTTTGTTTCTTCATGGGAACAGATTTGGAGAAGTGCAGCATTGCATCAGTGTCTCAGCAATGGATGCTCTGCAGTGAATGGGTGCCGTCAGAATGAGAGCTGATAAAAACATCACAATAATCCACACCACTCCACTGAAGGAAAAAGCTGTGTTTGTGGGAAAAAAATCCATCAAGACATGTGTATCTTCAAACCATTGATTCCGGCTAAAATACGAAACTCTAGATGGCGCAGGCTGATGGGTCGTTAACGCAAACTGATGATATTCACAGCGTTAAACTACTTGGCACGAACTTATTGGTTCATGTTGCATACACAGCTAATGAGCTTACTGCTTTACATTTAAACGGCTGGTTAGCATTCACTAGAGTGTTTCGTAGTGTGCTTTCAGAGTTCCTCTGAAACCCTCCACCTCCCCAGCTCCACCTGTACTGATCTGCTATGGGTTATTATACAGTATATGCTACTTGTGCAGCAGCAGTATGTCTTAAATATTTACAGCACCGTTTCGGCGAATATATTGGCAGTAACAAGTTCCTGTACTTGCTTGTAGCAGCAGCAGCGGTGTAGCAGATCAATTCCGCCAAGACCAAATACATTAACATTGTCATATCCATTACCATTCTAAAATCTTTAAAAAGAGAGTTGTCATGATAAAAATGTCTTAATGATGGATTTGTTTCTTACAAACACACAGCTTTCGGCTTCACAGGACATTAACTGATGGACTGGAGTGCTGTGAATTATTGTGATGTTTTTATCAGCTGTTTGGACTCTCATTCTGACGGCACCCATTCACTGCAGAGCATCCATTGCTGAGACACTGATGCAATGCTACATTTCTCCAAACCTGATGAAGAAACAAACTCATCTACATTTTCAATGGCCTGAGGATGAGCACATTTTCAGCAAACTGCAATAGTTCTCTTTCAGTAACACAATAAATGTCATGGTTCATGTAACGCTTCTATATGTCTTTATGTACTCATCATTACATCATGTAGTGACTCATGAGCCCCTAATACAATAGTTTAGTCTCAAGTCAAGCTCTAAAACTTACTTTTCAGAATCAATTATGACATTTTCCTCAAAGCACTTCTCAACACGAGAACAGAAAGAATACAAGGAAGCAGAAAAGATCCTTCACTCACCTCCGCAGGAGATGTCACAGACATCAAGGCCAAAGAATGAAGGCAAGAGAGAAGAATAAAAAGAGAAATAAAAACTGAAAGAAAGAAAGATTAGAGAAATGTATTAATTAAGGTTACAGCCAGGATATAAGAAAATGCTCAACATCCATATCAGAACAAAAAATGGGAGACGCGCCTGAGATGCTATAAATCAGTCTTACCTTCTCCTCTAGATCTTTAATCTGTCTCCTCTGGATGTCAGTCTTATCCTCCAGGTCTCTGATCCTCTGCATTGAGAGAAACACGCGTCACAGATCACGTTCGGTATGTTATTGTTTATTAAATAACTGCTGTAAACAGGTTTGAGAAAGCTGAAATCATCGATTACAGTGCTACAGTACAACTACAGTGCTTATTAATACAAACCTCATTTATAAATACAGTCTAAGACCACTAGCTGAATGCACAACTGAAAGCAGATTGAAATAAATAGCATAGAAATTTGAAACTTAAATTGAATTTAAATGTACATGGGTTTACAATATTCTTAGTATTTGTTAAGTCTCAGGAATCTGCTGCACATAAAAGCTATTGCATCAGATCACCAGTCGACATACTGTACATCACACACAGAACCAACAAATATAAATAGTCTTGCATTTAAGTGGTTATTATCTTTCTTATCTTTTATAGTATTTGTGTTACCAGATCATTGTTGCATTTTACTCACATATGTGACTGACTAAATACAATGTTGTTTGATAATTGTATGAGTGTGAAATGCTGTATTGATATTTCCACTTGTTTTTTGCCTGATGGCATAACGCCCCTGTACTCTTTCCAAAATCACTTTATAAATCGACTGAACTGTCAATAGATGACTAGTCAACAGAACCAGTCATCACCACTTTGGGCATCTCTGATCTTCGATCTATTATGCTGAACACATAACGTCTGCCGAGGCTGATTTAGGTTAGCTGTTCGGTGGATAACATCATGTTATCTGTACTCTTCTTCTTTTGGTTGCTTATTTCTTTAACAAGGTATAATTATTTAATTAGTGTGTCTACAAAACAGGTTTAACCACTTTGTGTTCCACCTATACGTAAAGCGTCATTTTAAAAATTAATAGCTTAAACCAGCTTTTACTCTATGTAAATAAATACAGACGGGTGACAAATTCACCCCATAAAGCCTGACATATGAAATAATAGTTAAAAAATATATATATATATTTTTTTTTTTTTTTTAACGAACAGTTGATGAACCTTTAAAGAAAATCTAAAAGAAAAAAAGTTTGCATAAGTGTTTCATGTTGTATCATATTTGATTTTTTTGTCTCATATTGTATGATATAGTGAGATTATGGAGCTAATATTCCAGGAGGAAAAAAAACAGAGCAGTGTTATTTTAGTATCATTGAGATACTATAATTACTATAAATACTATAATAATTTTTGTTAATATTTTCTTATTTCAAGGTAAAGTTTTAGTAATTTTGTTGTGTTTTTGACATTTTTATTAGTTTTTGTTGTTTTTACATGTCTATATAGTTTATATCAATTTTTATTGCAGTTTTAGTTATTTTAGTACATCAGGTTAAATAAAAAATGAGAAATGGTGCCTTGAAAATTACCTGCAATAAAATAAGTTTTATTTCAATTAACATCTACAGTATTTTACTTCAAGTAATGCTTTTTTTATGGTTTTAGTTTTAGTTAACTAAAACAACTCTGATTTAGAGGCCCAAACTGAGCAAAAATATGCAATTTGGTACATATATTTTAATTTATATGGCCAAAAGTAAGATGAAATACTGATAGCTTGTAATGTAAATCAACAAGTATAACATAATATTTACATAAAATGCATATAAATATAAGTTTTCACTCCCAATAATATGTCTTAGTAAGATGATATATAATGCTTAGTTTTATATTATATTTTATTTCATGTTTGATACATACATTTCAGCCATGCCATTTCACCCATCTTTACATTTACACAAAATAAACAAAATAATAATAATATGACTTTTTATTCTTCCATCATGAGGATGCCTTCTGTGGCCTTTCTCCTTGGGAATATGAAATATAAATGACAGAATTTTGTCTTTTCAAGCCAAAGTCTCATGTTTGGTTACATGATTCACAGAATACTACATGCATGAAAATATGTAAAAAATGATGAGGCGTGTCATGAACTGTACCTGATGGGCCTGATGGAGCAGCTCCATCCTCTCCTGCAGCACCTGACAGTCATATTCTCGGCTCTTCCGCAGCATCTGTCTGCGCAGTTTCTCCACAGCCGCGCGTAACTCGTCCTTCTGCAGCTCGTCCAGAGGTTCTCCATATTTGATGACTTTATCCTGCTGCAGTGCGTTGTACAGGGTGGCCTCCAGCTCCTGGATTTGCTGTTACACACACACACACACACACACACAGGTTTGTTTTTGTGAATTGTGGGGACATTCCATAAGAATAATGTTTTTTATACTGTACAGACCGTATATTCTATTGCCCTACACCAACCCTACCCCTAAACCTACCCCTTACAGGAAACTTTCTGCATTTTTAGATTTTCAAAAAAACCTTTTGTAGCCTTTTGAAATATGGGGACACTCAAAATGTCCTCATAAATCACCTTCTGTATGTAATACCTGTGTCATACCCATGTCATTATACAAATTTGTGTCCTCATAAATCACAAAAACGCGCACGCACGCACACACACACACACACACACACACAAACAAACACAAACACACAAACACACAAGCAAACACACACACACACAAACACACACACACACACACACACTTTTCTTTCAAATCAAATAATCGTTGGTTTGGTTTCATGGTTTAGAGAAAATGTATTGCCAAAATACTTTTGGAAGCAAAAAATTGCTTTGGAAGCAATGTGTGTGTGTGTGTGTGTGTGAGAGTGTGTGTGTGTGTGTGTGTGTGTGTGTGTGTGTGTGTGTGGCTGTTCTTTTTCTCTCATCATCAACGGGACGGGACTTGGATATCATCGTGAACACTTACCCAAAGAGTCACGCATCTACAACTCTGAACACATCAGATAAGCTTTTTTATATTCATTGTCATTTCCATTCTTTTTTTTTTCTATTGATTCACATTATTTTAAAGACCACCTGCGTGTTTATTGATTTGAGTTACTGTACCAGTTTTCTTTCAATTCATTCTCATTTTTGTGTACACACGTTGTTCTGTTTATTTCTTCTGGTTTATCTAAAAACATTCCGTTTATATAAAGGTATAAAAATTCCATTTCTGTCTTTATCGGTTGTGACAACGCACTGGGAGATACGCTGAGTTGGTTATAAAGCAAAATAACAGAATTAAAACAACACACAGAATTTTTGTAATTTCTCCGCTGAAGTTCATAAAAAGAAGAATTGGCTTAAAATGCAGAAGTTTTTTACCATATAGGCCTGATCCAGCGCCTGCTTCCTGTAGTCCAGCTCCTCCTCCAGATAACCCTTCTGTTTGCAGAACATCTCCTGCAAGTCAACAGTCATTTCGTAGATGATAATAATTAATGCATCTGTCTTGCATTGCATCTCACAAATGACATCTGCGTAATAATTTAAGCTTCTAACATCCAATACAGGAAAAATTACCTTATTATACTGTGAAATACCCTTTACGTCAAATGCAAACATCTCTCTTTCGTTTCATTCTTTCAGTGACTGTATGTGAAATCAAACCGGAAGACTTCAGTATAATAGTGGGCCTGCGGTAATACTGTCGAAGTGTTTGTCTTGTTGCCAGAATGATTGTTTTCTACACTGTAATGGATTATAAGATGACAAACAGGTAAGATTTTAATATGATTTCTTCTATATTTCATGTCCTGTCTTAAAATGATGTGGTGAAAGGCCCTTAAATGTCTGTTTTGTTTGAATTTGTTTGGTGGTCTTGGCCCAAAGCTGCTTGCTAGGAACTGTTTAACTTCACAGAAGATTTACAATACATTTCTAATAAAATATTTCCAATCAAATCAATATGTTGTGTTTATTTGTTTATTCACACTGCCATTCAAAGGTTTGGGATCAGTAAGATTTTAAAGGGGTCATGAACTGCCTTTTTTATTATTTTGTGCTGTTCTCTGAGGTCCACTTATAATGTTAATTTTTACATCAAAAACATCATCATTTAGCAGTAACAGTTGTGTATGTTTGACAGCCTACATCCTTCACAGATGGACGCATAAATACTCAGTCCGTATCAAACGATCTGTAATAACAGATAAAGCAATAGAGATCACATAATAAGAACAGTTCCTCACACTCGTGTGGTGCGACATTACTGTCAGACCCAATATATTCAGCACAGCATCGTCTTTTAGTTTCAATCTCTCTGACAATCCTGCATTGAATTGTTGTTTATAAATGAATCCGCGGTGAAATGAAGTGAACAAAGGACAGAGTTCTAAAAGACGCGGTCTGGATCTTCATTAGAAATAAAGTTCATCCACTCTTTCCTAATGTTGAGATCAGAAGGAACGCCATACAAAGACTGTTTATCCACAACTTGGCACTGAACAGCGTCTTGTTGTCTTCAGAGCATCTTTATAGTTTGATTTCTGTGTAGCCCTGTTTGCCTCTCTCGTTATTTACACTACATGCATGAATCGGTGGGCGGGGCTAAACAGGCAGTGATGTAGAATCGGTGGGTGGGGCTAAACAGGCAGTGATGTAGGCGTTAATCTTCTTCTGCGGAGGCGGGGTTTAGCCACACTATTACTATTACATACATAAAGTGGCTCATTCCACAAGCTGTCGTTTTGGCAAATTGGCTTCAATATAAGCTGTTTTTAGACTAACGAGAAAGATTTGAGTTCTGAAACTTACAGGATGATTTTATAGTACAATGACCTCTTATATGTCAAAAGATCAAGGGAATTTTGATTTCTCAGTTCATGACCCCTTTAAATGTTTTTCAAAGAAGTGTCTTTATGTATGTCCCAAGAAGCTGTGTAATAAGCAGGATAATGTACATCCAACAGGTATTTAACATAAATAAACCCTGATAGACGTGACACATTATCCATTACATAAATATCTTTACTGTCCTTTTCAATCAATTTAATGCATCCTTGCTGAATAGAAGTATCAATTTCTAGAAAGAAGGCGATGCAAAGACTGTGTTTTTCCACAGCTTGGCACTGCACAGTGTCTTGTTGTCTTCAGAGCATCTTTATCATTTGGTTTCTGCTTAGACCTGCACGTTTGCCTATCGTTATTTACACTACGTGCACGAATTGGTGGGCGGGGCTAAACAGGCAATGATGTAGAAGCAGGTGTTGATCATCTTCTGTGAAGGCTGTGTTTAGCCACACTATTACGTCATAAAGTGGCTCATTCCACAAGCTGTCGTTTTGGCAAATTGGCTTCAATATAAGCTGTTTTTAGACTAACGAGAAAGATTTGAGTTCTGAAACTTACAGGATGATTTTATAGTACAATGACCTCTTATATGTCAAAAGATCAAGGGAATTTTGATTTCTCAGTTCATGACCCCTTTAAATGTTTTTCAAAGAAGTGTCTTTATGTATGTCCCAAGAAGCTGTGTAATAAGCAGGATAATGTACATCCAACAGGTATTTAACATAAATAAACCCTGATAGACGTGACACATTATCCATTACATAAATATCTTTACTGTCCTTTTCAATCAATTTAATGCATCCTTGCTGAATAGAAGTATCAATTTCTTTTCAAAAAATCATAGTAATTTTTTTTGAAAAAACTGTCTATTTCAGCTCATTTAGAGAATTTCTGAGATTAATCATCAATCTGAACGTAAAATATTCACCATCCTTCAGTGAAACAGAGAAAATCATATTGCCAAAGAGCAATGATGCCTCACAGTCACACTAATAAATAAAGAGCTTCAGAAAAATACAGATGTTCTAATTATATTAACTGAGTTCATCCCTTTGGATTTCAGATGAATATGATGTACACTATCACCAGTTCAAAGTTTGGACACACCTGACTGAATTTTCATTACTCAACATCTTTAATATTGTTTAATCTGAAGGCTTATTATGCCTAAATGCTTGAAACTAGGCTTGTAAATATAAATTGTGTCTACGTATTATTTTTTTAAATTGCATTATTTATGAATGGTTGATTTGAAGTGGATAGTAAAGGAAAAGCAGTCGGCAAGTGTCTGGCAAAGTATGGAGAGATCAACTTTAGATCCAGTAGCCACTTCAAAAAACTCAAATATAAGAGCTTTCTTTAAGACTTTGTTGTCATTAAATAAACACAAAATTATTCTAAAATGAGTCCAAACCTTTGATGGGTAGTGTACAAATAATAAGACTTGTAGTTTGTACCATCTCGAGCTCCAGGTCCATCATCTTCTGATGCAGAGCTGCTTCTGTGCCTTCAATTTGCTGAATCCACTAAATGACAACACACATAAACACACACACACACACACACACACACATACTGGTCACTGACAAACGTCTGTCTTCATCGCAAATAATGATTATGCTCCTTCACTAACAGTGAGAAAAGTATATGTGATATATGCTATACTGTGACACTTCTAATGTAATGACTGTGTTGTAGTCAAAACCACCTAAACTGAGACTAAGTCAAGACCAAGACCAGAATCTGTCAAGACCAAGACTTTGAGGAGTTGAGATCAAGACCAAGGCAGGGTGAAACCAAGTCAAGACCAAGACCAGAAAGCACTTTTCAAATTCATCTGAAAGATCCATATTTATTCACCGAGAAATGCCTTGATAAAATAATAAAAGTAATTTATGCCAAAATTACAAATGCATAGATAATGCCATGAGATTAATGTTTTAAAGGTAAACCTTTAAATATAGAAATATGATGGAAAAATATAAGGATACTCTCAAGGTGAAACTAAAATGGCCAGTAGGTGGCAGCAAATCCTTTAATGAGTGAGTCACTGAATCATTTATTCAACTGATTCGTTCGAAGCGGCTGATTCATTCAATAACGAAACACTGCTCAGAAACATTCTGCTATGGATTTGTTTGGAACTATTGTCAAAAACTTGAGCTTAAACTGTGTTTAAAGCTAAATAACTTCTTGCTTATTGAACGTTTGTATAAAATCAATATCATGTTTGCAATCATGCTTATATTTGTGAAAACATCTCTCCTGCTCTGATGATATTGCTTAATTATATCAAATGTTACAATATAAAAAATTAGATACAATTTATTTATTTTTCTTTCTTTTTTTTTTGGTGGGCATTTGTATGATCCCCTGTTAATTTCTAATTTCAAAAGAAATAAGTTAATGAGTGCATCTGAAGCAAAAGAAAATAGTCAATGATTGAAAAGGAAATAAGCTACTGAGTGCATCCGAAGCATGACATTTTACATCAGTCATAGTAATGATGTTAAATCAGACAAGTCAAGTCACCTTTATTTCTACAGCGCTTTATACAATACAGACTGTTTCAAAGCAGCTACAGTGTTAAACAAGAAAATAGTGATTCAATGATGCAAACTAAATTCAATTCTGCTCTAAAAGACAACAGTAAACAGTCATTATACAGTAGAAATGCACTGGCAATTTAGTCATTTCCCCGCAGCTCTAGTCTAGTACAGACATGCCATTCATTACTCAAAACTATTTTTTGGGCCTCTTTAGAATCCATATCTTATATATAACCTGAGGAAAGCACGTACCTTCTCAGCGAGCGACAGCACGGTACTGGCTTGAATAATGGCCACCTGCTCCTCGTTCCTCAAGTTCTGCATAAAACCATAAGCAAATACTGTACTGTGCATTGAGTCTCAGGTTTGATTTGTGGACAGAGATCAAACCTCCAGCTCAAGAATGCGAAACTCCAGGAGTTCGTTCTGATCTTTAGAGTCCTGTAGCTCCTGCTGCAGCTTTCCGTTTTCATTCTCAGACTTTTCAACCTGGCGAAGAAACATCAGAAAAAATGTCATCTGACTGAAGATGCGGATGATGTTGCACAGATGCTGCTGATATTCGATGATCCGATTCAACCATACGAACAACCAAAAATGACTTCAGATAAACATGACATTTGTGTTTCATTTTTTTAATTGCTGAAGAGTGCTGAACTTTCTTCTCCTGCATCCTATTCTTCATGTAATCCAGAAGGTTTGTTTGAGGCCAGCAGCGATTTGTGGACAGAGATCAAACCTCCAGCTCAAGAATGCGAAACTCCAGGAGTTCGTTCTGATCTTTAGAGTCCTGTAGCTCCTGCTGCAGCTTTCCGTTTTCATTCTCAGACTTTTCAACCTGGCGAAGAAACATCAGAAAAAATGTCATCTGACCGAAGATGCGGATGATGTTGCACAGATGCTGCTGATATTCGATGATCCGATTCAACCATACAAACAACCAAAAATGACTTCAGATAAACATGACATTTGTGTGTCATTTTTTTAATTGCTGAAGAGTGCTGAACTTTCTTCTCCTGCGTCCTATTCTTCATGTGATCCAGAAGGTTTGTTTGAGCTGCGCCCTCTACTGTACAGACGTGAATTTACATTTCCTTCAGCCTGACGCTTATTCATTTCACTTTTGGTGTGAAAGAGCCTTTACATTTGGCAAAAATATAACTTTTTATATTGAAACCAAATAGGCAAGCACTGCCCAGATGAGAAAAATTAACACAAAAGTAACATTACTTTGCATAAAAAGTAACTAAGTAACGCAATTAGTTACTTTTGTAGGGAGTAACTCAATATTGCAATGCATTACTTTTGAAAGTAACCTTCCCCAGCGCTGATTACTTTGTTCATCGTGTTCACTCACCTTCACCAGCAGCTCTTGATTGCGCCTGAGGAACAGTTGCTTCTCTTCCACCCATCTGGAGTCCTGTAAGGAAGAGAGCAAATGATGTGAATCAGACATACGTGTGCTTTACAACCAGATACTCTGTGAAATCAGTTTGTAAGTATGAAGAAACACTCAGCAAGATAAATACCACACTAGAAATTGCAGTATGAGCGTGCTGAAATGTCACGCAATCACAGGTCACTGGGTATAAATTTTGCATGCACTAATATCAATAATAGTAAAAGACTTTTACCTGTCCTTTTAAACCGAGCTCGTTTTCCAGGTCTTCAATTTTAGCTTTATACCTTTGAACGTCTGCCAGGAGTTGCTCATGAGCCTGCAAAGATAAGAAAACTATATATAATAATAACACAATATGTAATTTTTCGCCGCTAGAGGGCGCATATTCAAAACAAACAAATCAAAGGCAAAGGCGAATCAAAGGTGTAGTTTGATGATGCTGTGACTGAGTGTGGAATCAATGGAGTTGTGGTCTTCATCCCCACAGCCGATGCAATCCGACGGGACTCGGGCAGAAATCATGTTCATGGATGAGCTAATGATTTATTAACGTAGTAGAATGAAGCTCGAGCGCTTCCGCTGCTTCCGGTCGTGCGTATGTGGGGTAAAGCAGCGCTGTTTTATCATACGAGATACATTTGAATGTTCTATTATAATGCTACTCTGTGCGGTAGTCACCGGTCTATTGCACAACATATTAAACATATTAAAGCGTCTTTGGTGTTTCCATGTTTTCTACAAAACAAAACCGAGGGATCGAGGGGTTATGACATCATTAGCAGGCGACACAATGACACTATGGACACGCTCCGTGTCACTAGTTAAAATTGCTTATTTCTCTGGATTTAAACATTCTTCGAAACATTTGGGGTAATGTAAGTACACAAGTCAGCAAAATATATAACACTGTTCTAGTGGTTTTTGGATATTTTAATAAAAAAATATTACATATTCTGCCTTTAACAATAATAACCATGATGAGGATTTTTCTTTCTTTTTGACAGTTCATTCATCAGGATAGTTGTACCACCCCAACATTTGAATATCAAAATAAAGTTTCATTCAGAAATTAAAAACATGTTAATTATATTAAAAGGTGTCTTCATATTGTTGTATGTGTGAAATGCATTTATAATGTATTTTTGAAAGAGGTAATAAATCTGGGCAAAAGAGACCTAATTTCTGTAATGTTAATGGGTAACCAGTTGTGCACAGGCAGTATTTGAGGAATACCTTAGCCTCCATTTCAGCATCCAGCACACCTCCTTTCTGCTCCTGCAGCAGAGCATAGGCTCTTTGAAGAGCCTGATATTCCCGTGTCAGCTGCTTAAAGCGCAATTCAGACTCTTCAGCCGCAAGACCCTTTGAGAATAAAAAAGTCTATGAGAAATAATGAACATGAACAGCATAAAACACAGGAAACCTGACTGAGAAATGAAGGAAGTCCATAATCTTGCTGAATGCTCACCTCGTCTAAATCTTCATCTGGAGTAGCCGGGGTTCGATCCATGCGCAGGGAAGCCACGGAGGAAGTTTCTGAATCCATGGACTCTTCATCATACCCATATAATGTATCTACAACAATATGCCTCTGCGCGGGGAACAACAAGAGCAATTCTAGGTAAATATGGACCTTTTCGTGGAATTTCGGATATTCCGAACCCCAGTGTGGCTGGTTGCTCCAAAAGTTAAAAAACAGACTGCAATGTTTTGAATGCTGATAGGAGAAAATACTGTAACAGTAGCAATGTTTGCATCCACAAATTTCGGGGTATCGCATAAAAACACTGAATGGAAGCACCAAATGCATTGACAATCTTAAAATGTGCATTTAAAAAAAACCAATTTTTTAATCCGGTAACAAAATGTGCATAAACTACAATGTAAACCCATTTACTAAATAAATTCCTGGTTGCGCAACAAAAAACTTGCGTGACATTGTCTTAGCAAATCAGGTGATTGGATAACTGGACTCATTTGCAGACTAATCTCATTGCACGCTGTCTAAAATATTGTTTTAGACATTATGAAATTCCTGAGCCAAAGTGTGTCATCAGAATGATTTGGCATAATTAAGTAGTTTTTATTAGTGCTGTCAATCAATCAATTAATAAAAATGAACTTATTAATCGCACATTTTTTCTGAAATTAATCGTGCTTAATCCCACCTAACATTAAAGTTTTTAAATATACTTTTATATTGCAATAATTTCACATTCAATCTTCAAATTAATGTAGAAACAACATAAAGAACAGTGTATTTTTTATATTTGTTTAATGGCATCTTTTTTGTGACTGAAGGCAAGTAATAGTTTTTTTTCCTAATATTTAACCATTGATTAGCCATTCAACATTACATTATAATTGAGAGCTAATTATTTTAACATTTATTAGACTTTAACAACTTCTAATTTAAGTGAACTTAAAACACTTCACATAAACCCATTATAATAAATGTCATATTTAGCTACCTGTGCCCTTCATCATTTAGGAAATATACAGAAATGGCATAACGTTATCAAACACTAAATTCTAAATTAAATGTAGGAGAATCCTTAAAGCTACAAAAGTTATTGATTTCCTCTTTTTTTCTTTTTGAAGGGTCATCACAGCAGCTGGTTATGAGGTTATTTTGGCTGCTTTAAGAGCTGCCGCTGCTGAACATGACGCGGATCTGACACGCATCATAGTTTCTCATAACTCTTTACCTTTTCTGACCCACCTCAGCTCTTAAAGTCTCTATAATGACCTGAGGAGTTGAATCGGGTTTGTTAGATGAGGGAGACAGTGCTGCTGCTCCAGGACAGTTTGGAAAACCACTGCATTTCAGAGACATGTTCATAAATTTGACTCATATATATATAACAAATATTTACATGCATGCACAGTTTTAAGGCAGCTTTAATTGCCTTTTTAGCTCCTTTTTCCTTTTTCCTTTGATGAACAGTCATCACAGCAGCTGGTTATGAGGTTATTTTGGCTGCTTTAAGAGCTGCCGCTGCTGAACATGACGCGGATCTGACACGCATCATAGTTTCTCATAACTCTTTACCTTTTCTGACCCACCTCAGCTCTTAAAGTCTCTATAATGACCTGAGGAGTTGAATCGGGTTTGTTAGATGAGGGAGACAGTGCTGCTGCTCCAGGACAGTTTGGAAAACCACTGCATTTCAGAGACATGTTCATAAATTTGACTCATATATATATAACAAATATTTACATGCATGCACAGTTTTAAGGCAGCTTTAATTGCCTTTTTGGTAACTTCATGACTTAACTGACGACATAACTATGACATTGCACTCTCATAGTTTCTTTTGCACTTCGATATGAAATGATACAGGCTACAGCGAAGTGAACTTTCCAGGAAGTGAAGATTTGGTTCTCTTGAATACATGGGATGGAAACTGTGCTTTATTCACAAATGTGTTATGCAATATATTAACAAATTTTCGCACAAGTTCAGTTCACAACCTTGGATGGAAACATAGCTAGCTGAGAAAAGCACACACTTTCAAAAACCCTCACCTTTATAGGTCTGCTTCGTTTATGCCTCTTCTTTCTCAAGAGTTTTTCTCTATCCTGTAACATGCATAAGAAAGATATGATAGATGGGTGTTTGGTGCTCACTGCTGTGACTCCTGGCTGATGTTTGTGAGAAGTACTCACTCGTGTCAGCTCATCGATCATGCTCTGCTGCTCGAGAACCTGCAGCTTGAGGAACTCAATCTCTTGATCATCATTGGCCTGATCCAGATCATTCAGAGACTTCAGTTTCTTCAGTGGAGGATGGGAGGTAATCTTCTCCTTCTGAATACAACAAAACAGTACGAATACAACAGCATTGCAAAAAAAAAATTGGTGTAGAAACAATTTTCACTCAGAAATTGCTAGTGAATTTCACAAATAATCACAAAGAAACGGCAAGTAACGTAAAATTTCGAAGTAGAAAAACTGAAATAGTATTTTCTTGCAAAATGTACTAAAATCTTTGTTTTAACTTTGAAAAATATTTTTTTGCAGTGGGGATCCAGCCATTTCCATCTGCAGAAAGCTGTAAACGGTATTTTATTCACAAGAAATGTTTCTGTACATTTTGTAGTAATCATGTCAGCAGTATATTTATCCAATGATTATCAAATTAAGGAAAAGAGCATTATTCAGGCATATATCCAGGCATGTTGTCACCCTTAGGTAATTTTAAAGGAATAGTTCACACTAAAATAAAAAATTTACTCCCCCCCAGGCCATCCGAGATTAGGATGAGTTTGTTTCTTCATCAGAAATGTAGCATTGCATCAGTGTCTCAGCAATGGATGCTCTGCAGTGAATGGGTGCCGTCAGAATGAGAGTCCAAACAGCTGATAAAAACATCACAATAATCCACACCACTCCAGTCCATCAGTTAACATCTGGAGAAGACAAAAGCTGCGTGTTTGTAAGAAACAAATCCATCATTAAGACATTTAAACTTTCAAACCTAGTTTATAGCCAAAATACAAGTCTATTATCCATAATATTGGTTTCTTGAAACAGGAGTGAAATATGCACAGATCAAGCACCGTTTACAAGCCAAAACAAACAAATGTCGGTGGATTTTGATGGATTTTGAGGAAACAGGAGATGGACTTTTTCACTGGAGGAAGCGTTATTTTGGTTTTTGGACTCGTATTTTGTCCAAAATTGAAATGCCTTGATGGATTTGGTTCTTCCAAGCACGCAGCTTTTGTCTTCTCAAGATGTTAACTGATGGACTGGAGTAGTGTGGATTACGTGTGGATTATTGTGGTGTTTTTATCAGCTGTATGGACTCTGGTTTTTATTAGCTGTTTGCTACTGTTTGGACTCTGACGGCACCCATTCACTGCAGAGGATCCATTGCTGAGATCCAATGCTACATTTCTCCAAATCTGATGAAGAAACAAACTCATCTACAGCTCGGATGGCCTGAGGGGGAGTAAATGTTCAGCAAATTGTCATTTTGGGGTGAACTCTTCCTTTAAGAACCGATCCAGGTGCCTTAATCATAGTAATGAAAGGAAACTATACAGCTAGTAGACTAGATTGTGGTACTTTACTACCTAACAAGATGGGGAATTGTGCCACGCAAATTGCATTCAAAACAAATTTTATGGGGGCACTACCTGATTTTTACCATACGGGGTGCTAAAACAACACCCAGCATGTGAAATATGCTAATATTGGGCAAAATTAATAATTTGTGAATTCCTTACTCAGTATTTCCTGTCCATCTGAAAGATTGTGAATTCACATTCAAAAATACTTTCTTTTTTTTTTTTTTTTTTACCAAATTATTATATAAACATTTATCTCGGGTAAACACAAAGGTTTAGTGCTAAATATACATGTATAAATACTTCAAAACAATATGCAATTATGTGATCTTAAAACAAAGCACCCATCTAATTTTTAAAAACTGTCAGCATTAAAACAACACACAGTGACAGAGCATTTAAAAAGCGTACATTCAAAGTTCAATACAGCTGCTTGACTAAAATAACATTGTGCTATCTGCTCAAACATCACATTTGTGGTGAGATTCAAATATAGGCGCAATGCTGAGATGCCTTTCTGTGCTTTGTTAGCATTCGGAAACAAACGCATTAGATTTAATCACACATTAAACTGAAATCACAAACCTGCACTTTAAAATGCAGATTAAATTTGGACAGACATTAGAAAATAAAGAGGAACCCACCATTTCCAGATTCTCCTTGGTTATGGATTTAAGTTTGTCCTCCGTCCTCTGAAGGGAATGGCTGAGTTCATCATTTTTCTTACTTAATAATTTGTTCTTCTCCAGTAACGGCTTGCATTGTTTCTCTGTTTCTCGAACACGCTTCAACTGAGAGGAGCAATTCAGGGTTAATTATTCATAACCAAAAAGACATAAAAAGAGAAAGACCGCACATAAAAGAAGATGCATGCTGAGGATTTAATTGTCCTGTAAAAACCAACAACAATTCCACAGTTGGCATTGCTTGTTTATGCTTCACTGCGACACTGAGTTTCCAGGGAGCATCTATGCAAACAACATCAATGACATAGAAACATACCAGCTCGTTTCTTTCATCCACTAAGATTGAATTGCGGTCCTCCAGTTTACGAATGGTGGCTTTGAGTTCACTCATGCGTTTCTGGTTTCTTCTCATGTCCTAAAACACATACACCCGATATACCTGTAACATTTAACTTGACACACACACACATGTACAGTACATTGCATAATAAAGGAAAATGTATGCACTAATATAAAATGTTTACCGTATTAACCCATATTTACACTGGCAGAGTATCACGTGAATGCATTAGTGTTTGTGTGCTTGCAGGTGTAGCTGAGTGTGAAAGAGCACTTGCTTTAAGTCAGCCATTCAACTGGCTTATAGCAATAACAATTCACCTTAACTTAAAATTATGCATTACAAGAACGGAGATAACCATTTAGATTAACTCTAATCTTTCAATCTGTTTCTCTTACACAGAAATGTTTAACAGCAATAATTTATGCTGATATCATTTTCAAATTGTAGACTGTGTGTTTAAGACTGCACTACAAGAACATCTATGGATTCGCATGTGCATTTGTGGAATTGCATGTGCATTAGTGGATTCGACGAGTCTAGTTTCTTTACCGGACTCCCACAGTGCTCTGCTCCATCTCCAGCGCGGCCGGGGATCTCTCTTTTGGGGCTACCCAGGTTGCATTCTGCCTCTTTCACCAGAAACAGCTGCTCATCAAGCACATCCTTCTGCAGCATCAGCTTCTGCACGAAGCCTGTCGCTGTTTCCAGCTCTTTCTCCAGCGCGAAGATCGTCCGGTCCTTTGCCTTGATCTCATCCACCTGCACAGTTTAACAAAGGTCATACTGGGTTAAGCCACAGGGTCAGGGTTAGGCTTTTTAAAGTCACCATGAAATCAAAAATGACAACTGTAATTTTTTTTACAGAGTGCTGAAGTATTTATTATAAATGATTTATCTGTGCACATCATTGTTTTTTAAAAATTCATTTGCACTTGTAATCTTTAATCAAAAACATTACCCTCCCCTCCACCTCTCACCCATAGATACCTAAACATATCTATGCACACAATGACATCTGTTCTATTCATGATGTAATACTCAAAAAAAAGGGCTGGACTATGCTGACTGTCCAATGACCAGGCTTTTAGCACCCTTGATTGACAGGCGATCTGACCAATCATAACGCCGAATCTGTCATTTTGTTCGACAAACAAACCAGACAGGAAAGTTAATAGATTAACGTCAGTAGAGTCGAACTTGAAAAATGTGAACTGACGTCTTTCCGCGGTTGAGACAACATACCATCTGATGTTCATTCATGTGTATTTCATGCTATACCTAGCAGGAAGTGATCGATTCACGGTTGAACCTCTAGAACGGCTCTAGGCGCTACAGCGATCAGTCACATTAAAGAGCCCAAAACATAAGATTTATTGTTTGAATTTCTTTAAAAAATTACAAAATTTGAATGCTGAGACTTTGTTTCAAAAGTAGCCTGCTGGTCTGTTGGAGCATTGTCAAGCGATGTGATGATGTGTGGCGTGAGAATGCATGTGAACCGATCATCTCTTCCTCTTTACTACAAGTTATAGCACGAAATAAACATGAATGAACATTAGGCCGCGTGTCCACCAAAGAGTTTTTCCCGAAGGCTAGCGTATTTAAAATTTCATGTAATTTTACAGCAAAATACTGTTAGATCTATGTTTCTAAAGAAATAGTTCACCCAAAAATGAAAATTTGCTGAAAATGTATGATATCTGGAAGTATGTAATATAAAATCTTCCATGTTTGCTTAATGGACCACAGAACTTATTTGACATTTCCAGATTAAGAATAAAAACGACGGCTTACCAGTCGACGAATATCTCGCTCACTGTCCCACTTGATCTTGGAAATTTGCTCCTGGTGCGCTTGATGTTCAGAGCGCAGGTCACCTGCCTTCATCTTGTCAGCTAAAATTATAGTATTAAGTGCTTCATCCTTCTGCCGTTTGGAGGATTTTAGCTCGGCTATTTCTTGCAGCAGCTTGACACGCTCGTGGTCAAAGAAGCGGCGGGCTTCCTCTCGGGCCTCTAGCGTTAGCGCAGTGCGCACTTTCTCGCCGCTGCCGTCGCGCAGTGCACTAAGCGCAGTCCGCAGACGCTGGATCTCACCTTCTTTAATCTTAGCGGTACGTGCTAACTCCTGCTCGTGCTGCCGTGTTAGCGATTCCCGCAGAGCTGCGAGTTCCTTTAACTTCTCCTCGTGCCAGCGAGCCCGCTGCTCCGTCAGCGTCACCGTATGCCGATGCTGCTCCTGTTCGCGAATGCGCTTGCCTTCCTGCACCTTTTCTCGCTCCAACTTGGTCACCTGCAGAAATGAGTTCATGAATGAGCCACGTGGATATGCATTTATTCAACATCTGTTCTAGGTGGACAAGAATGGTACAGCAAGTTTAACTAGTTAGCGTGGCACTGCAGAAACCAGCACCTAAAAAGGCTCATCTCTTAAACCAGAGCTTCTCAACTTTTTATACGAATAGGCAAAAATCAAACTTGATGGAGGGCCGTGGTCCAAAAGTAAATGTTGCATTATATACTGTAACTGTAATATAATGAAATGTATTCAATTTTTTAAAAAATTGTATATAATTAAACAAAAATTTTAATAAAACTTTTTTGAAATGTTAAAGTTTTAAAGAAGTCTCTTCTGCTCACCAAGGGTGTATGTATTTGATTAAAAATACAGTAAAAACAGTAATAATGTGAAATATTATTACAGTTTAAAATCACTGTTTTCTATGTGAATATATAGTAAAATATAATTTATTTCTATGATCAAAGCTGTATTTTCAGCATCATAACTCCAGTCTTCAGTGTCACATGATCTTCAGAAATTATTCTAATATGCTGATTTATTATCAATGTTGGAAACTGTTGTGCTGCTTCGTATTTTTTGAGAATCGGTTTATTCTCATTTATTCAAAATAAAAAATGTTTTCTAACAATATAAGTCTCTACTATCATATTTTATCAATTTAACACATCCTTGCTGAATAAAAGTATTAATTTCATTAAAAAAATAAAGAAAAAATTTACTGACCCCAAACTTTTAAAATTTGATCACAGAAATAAATTATATTTTAAAGTACATAAAATAGAAAACTGTTTTTTTTTATTTTAATAATATTTTACAATATTACAGTTTTTTCTATATTTTTTTTTATTTTTGATCAAATGAGCATAAAAGACTTCTTTATTAAACATTAAAAATCCTACTGATCCCAAACCTTTGAACAGCAGTGTGTGTGTGTGTGTGTGTGTGTGTCTGTGCGTGTGTGTGCGTGTGTGTATACTGTATATATATTTTTTTTCTTCACTTGTGATATGGCATGACGGGTCATTTCAGAAGTCATCAACTTTCGCCTGCAGGCCTTGGTTTGGGCATCTCTGTCTTAAAATGTTTTTTGAAATGAACTGTGAGACGGAACTTTTGATTTTCTGTAGCTGAAATTGATCTAAGCCGTGCACTGGTTAAAAATGTCAGAAATGTTCAGCAAAGGTTATGAAAGTTCGCTGTAAATGTGCTACAGTTTAATTCAGGAGAGATTGTTTTCTTCTGGCCTTTCAGAAACACGAGGTAAATCTGTACATGCCGTTTGCCTACCTTGCATTTTTCTTGATGCAGTTCAATTTGAATATCGGTTAATTTCGACCTGAGATCTTCATTGGCTGCCTGTAAGGCAGAGATGAGTGCTTCAGGCTTCTCGCCCTTGGCGCGGCCTTTCTTTGCCATTGGGTCAGATGTATGGGTTCCTCAAACACTCTTAGTATCCATCACTTCAAGTTACACTGACGTTTCCAGCTCCGTCTTTTCCTCATTATCCTTGTAGTGAGAAAACCTGTGGGAGTAAACAGAAACATTTACAGTGAGGGTAAGGACAAAATCACTATGCACATTTGTGACCCTGGAGCACAAAAGCAGTGTTAAGTAGCTGGGGTATATTTGTAGCAATAGCCAATTGACACTTAAGACTGGTTTTGTGCTCCAGGGTCACATTTGTAAACTTAAATTGTCATGCTATGATTTCATCCACTTCTGTGTGTATTTTTGTTAAAATCAACAGATTTCACCTTTTTGGAAGGAAACTCTGAAGTCTTGGAATCCTTATAATTTACTTTGCAACTTTTTTCAAATGCCTTTTGTCCATAATAATCCATAATAAAAATATGAATAATAATTAATTATGATAAATAATCATATTAATTATTACATACAGGTGAATTCAGGTTGATTGGGACACGTTTGCCAGTCATTTCAATTGATCCTAATCTAACGAAAGAGTAAAATAAACACAAAACAGTTCAGTATGTATTGCCTGAATATGATTGACTGTATAAACTAAAGTGTGACCAACATTTATACACACAAGTCATTTTGATGTAATGGAAATAACATTTGAAATATCTGTTGGAATAAAATGCCAAACTCCTTTGTTTTATTAATACATAATTTGATATGGTGCAGAACAAAACACAAAAGTGAACAGAATTCTCTTGTGACACATTTCAGTGCACTGCATTGTTAGTAGAAGTAAAAGAACAAGTAAAAGTGTCAATTTTATTTTATTTAAGTTTATTTTTTAAACTCCCTTCCTTACACAGGACTGTTTCATAGCAAAACATACCTGAATAAAACACTATCTAGTACTATTAATAATAAACCACTTTTTCTTGACCCAGCATTTAATTATAAAGTATGACAGATGAACAATCAACTTACACAAGCTGACAGCACAGCCATGAGTTGCCTTGACAACATGCTAACCGCTCACCCACGCACACATGCTGCGTCACAGAAGCACTTAAGATACTAAATCTAGGCTGCTGACTGTACTAAACGACAGGCGATGTTGCTAGTGTTTAACCACGCTTCACAGCCATGCAAGAGACTTCTACAGTCAGACATGTAAACTCAAGAAGACAAGAGTATATAGAGGCATTATGATGATTAAGAGATTGTAAAAGATTATGATGATGATGAGGCATAATGGTGATTAAGAGTGAATGACGCAGCAGCTGTCAATACAACACAGCAGTCGCCTGAAACTACTAAAATAAGACACAGTTATCAGGGCAAAATAAGATGTGCTGCTGGTACAAGACAACATGTAGCATTTGACAAAGCCATCTCAAATTAATCACTTGCTGAAATTTATAACCCTCAGTCCATCCAAGATGTAGATGAGTTTGTTTCTTCATCAGATTTGGAGAAATGTAGCATTACATCATTTGCTCTGCAGTGAATGGGTGCCGTCAGAATGAGAGTCCAAACAGCTGATAAAAACATCACAATAATCCACAAGTAATCCACAGCACTCCAGTCCATCAGTTAATGTCTTATGAAGCCAAAAGCTGAAACAAATCCAGCATTAAGACTCTCATTCTGACGGCACCCATTCACTGAAGAGGGTCCATTGGTGAGCAAGTGATTTCTCCAAACCTGTTCCAATTAAAAAACAAAAACAAACTTATCTTGAATGGCCTGAAGGTGAGTATATTTTCAGCAAATTTTCATTTTTTGGGGTGAACTACTATGACATTCTGGTCTGACTTTATATGTTGAAATCAGATTTATGGCTCAATCGGACTGAAAAACCTTCTCAGTCGATCTGATTCAGCTCAGTCTGCATGAGAGTTCGATCAGATTAAAAAGAGTGCTGTAAATCTGACATATTTCAATCAAAAGCATGTAAACGCCAGATTCTGACCGATTTCTCAGTTTGATTCGAACACGCTGCACACGTGTGCATGCATGATGCCAAGATGTGTACTGAATACTTGCAAAAAAGCTCTTATGATATAAATGTCAGCTTTCTTATCTTTCTCTTAATAGGTATGTCACTGAAGCAAAAATGGCACTTGCGGTACTGTAGTTAAACGTATTGTTTTGGATACTTAATTGCATGTTATTTACAATTAAATTAAAATGTATTTTAAATTTATATTAAATGCAATTAGCAAAACTTTAAAATGCTTTTTCCGACCCACCCAAAACAGGACTTTCATCATTTTCTCTGCAGATCTGGCAGGTAGCAGTCTTTTTAACAGACCAGAAATATCACAATCTGGCTTCGACAGAAGGTACTTAAATATAAAGGACTAAAATATACTACATAGCAGGCAATTCACACATACTGTACGTTATTTGTAAAATTATTTTATTTCCAGACAGACAAGCAAAATAAATTGGCTGGACTTGCTGTGCAGTGCGTCCAAAATAGAAATGCTGCCAAAATGGCCTTAAGTAGACAATTCCAGTGCAGACAGCACCATTGATTATAACGGATCTAAAATGGATCTCTAGCCATTTTCCATAAGACCAAAGTACTGAAACGATCAGCATGCAGAGTGAGAAGGACACAGATTGGGAGAGAGATGTTTTTCAGAATTTTTCTCATTGTTTAAATTATATCCAAGTGTTTAATTAAATAAAAAGAGTATTGCAAAATACATGTTAAAAATAATTAAATTAAATTAATTATATTAAAAAACAATTTTTGAATATATACAGATTTTTTTTTTTTTTAACTGGCCATCCAAAATGTTTATATTCCACTACTGAGCTCAAACCAAGGGAGTAGTGTGAATATTTTAAGTGAAGGGTTACTCAGACAGAAACTGTCCTGTTTTAGCATGTTCAGCACTTCCGATTTACAATGTACAGTATGTCAGCACTTCTCAACTGAAGGGACACCTAAACACAACTGGACTAACATCCATGTTTAAATCACAATAATAACAAAATAATAAACCTATGTATAGAGGATAAAACCTAAAGGCAACCTGTAGTCTAACATTAAAATAATATAATGGAAAAATTAGGGCTTTGACGTGACATTGCTGCATGTAACCTTGGCAAAGCTGCTGTTCAATAACTTGATTTTTATTGGCCTTGCTGTTTGGGATGTTAAAATTCATGATTTAGCCCTTTCTGATCATATGCCCATTACATGTACTTTAACTATCCCTGGTGTTATTCATAATACCTTATGTCCAATTCGTCAGGTTCAGAATTTAAATGCAGCCACTATTGAGCAGTTTCAAAATGCATTCCTTGAATCTGATATGAATTTTACTTTGGAGAGCCCGTCTTTGCATTTAGATGTGAACGATTCACTTGATACTTTTAATTCTGTATGTTCCTCTATCCTAAAGTCCATTGTCCCTTTAAGAGTGTTAAGGCCAAACCAGAACCTTGGTTAAATGAGGTTACTCAGGGCTTGAGGCATGCTTGTAGGAAAGCGGAGTATAGGTGGACAAATTACAGGTGTCTTATTATATTGCTACGCGAGTCTTTATCTACTTACCAGAATGCAGTTAAGTCAGCTAAGAGAAAATATTTTGCTTATTTACTTTTAAGGTTCCACAGTAAGTCTAATATTTTATTCAATACTATCAACTCAGTGCTAATTCCTATTACTACATGTCCTGTTTTATGATTTTTTATGAGCCCCCTATTACTTGTTTCACCTCTGCTGTGTTGATCTTAATTCTCAAGCTGAGGTAGTTGGGCAGTTAAAACCTACAAACTGTGGTTGTGATATTATTCTATCAAGATTAGTTAAAAAAAAAAATTATATTATTGGTCCCAGTATACTGACTTTAACTAATAGAAGCTTCAAAACAGCAGTAGTTCCAATGGATTTTAAGCATGCCGTTGTACAGCCCCTCTTGAAAAAAAACAAATTTGGATCCAAATGTTTTATCTAATAACAGACCTATTTCTAAATTGCCATTTTTATCTAAAATTCCAGAAAAAGTCGCATTAAACCAATTGCAGACCTTTCTAGTTCAAATGAGATCTTTGAGACATTTCAGTCAGGGTTTAAAGCAAGTCATAATACAGAAACGGCCTTGTTGACAGTTTTAAATGATATTTTTATTTTGATTGATTCAGGCACCTCAATGGTTTTAGTTTTACTAGATCTCAGTGCAGCATTTGATATTCTTGTCTCTCGTCTAGAAAAGATAGTGGGAATCCGGTGTATGGCACTTGAGTGGTTCAAATCCTTCATTTTCAGTCCATTTTGGTCAACATTACTCTAAAACGGCCCCATTGTCTAGTGGAGTTCCACAAGGATCCATTCTCGGCCCAGTCTTGTTTTCATTATATATGTTACTCTTAGGTTCTATATTTCATAAGCATGGAGTATCTTTTCATTGTTACGCAGATGACACTCAGGTGTATCTACCTTTGTGGAAACAGGATAAAAGCTCTTTTGAGTCACTATTGAGTTGTTTACATGAAGTTAAATCTTGGATGTCACAAAATTATCTGAATTTGAATGAAAGCAAAACTGAAATAATCTGGTTCGGGGCTCCTGACACCCAAAACTCTTTTGACTTGGGCAATTTAGCTCCCTTCTGTAAATCTGTGGTGAAGAACCTTGGTGTCCAATTTGATCGTTCTTTGAAATTTGATAAACAGATCAACACCGTGGTCAAATCTTGTTTCTTTTATTTAAGATCAATAGCAAAGGTTAAACCGTTTCTGTCCTCCAGTGATTTTGAATGAATTATTCATGCTTTTATTCTGTAAAACTGGATTACTGTAACTCACTGTATGTGGGTATTAGCTAAGTATTGTTAAATCGAAAAAATGCTGGGTTAAATACTACCCAGTGCTGGGTAAAATATGGACAAACCCAGCAATTGGGTTGTTTTGACCCAGAGGTTGGGTTACTACCCAGAAGGTTGGGTTAAACATTTAACCCAACAGCTGGGTCAAAACAGCCCAATTGCTGGGTTTGTCCCTATTTTACCCAGCACTGGGTTATATTTAACCCAGCATTTTTTAGAGTGTGGTTTAAAATGCGGCTGCTAGGCTTTTAACAG